GACATCAACCTGTTCGGCAATAAGTCCAAAACCAGCAAAGACATTCCATGTAAACAACAAGAGGGCCAAGCAGTTACCATTATTATTATGATTAATGACAATTACTAACAAATCCATAGAAACAGAAAGAGGATTAGTAGTTGCCAGGACCTGGGGGGAGGGAGGAGCCACAGCAGTGACTACTAAAGGGACAAGGTTTTCTTTTGTGGGTGAGGAAGATGTTCTGGAATCAGACAGTGGTGATGGTTGCACAACCTTGTGAATATACTAAAAATCACTATACTGTTCATTTTAAATGGCTGAATTGTATGGTATGTGAATTATCTCAATTAAAACAAACACACAAGCAAATCATAATTACAAGTACCCTTCCTTGCCAGGAACTTACATCCCTCATCTTTCCTAATCCTCATTAAGCAGATATTCTTCCCCTTTTCCAGCTCAGGAAACTGAGGCATAGATCTTAAGCAACACCCCACTAGCAAGTGTGAGGTGGGGGCTGGAACACAGATCTCAGCCAGCTCTCACACCCGCCACGCAACACTCCATGCTCCACACACTATAAGCATTAACCTAATGCATGCAACCCTGCGGCCAGGGTGCTTACAGGGAGTTCACAGTCATCACAACGACAATGAAAGACAAACTAAAACACAGGTTGATGAAGTTAGAGACTAGAGATGGATCCTTATCGGGAGACACAAGGGAGACTCCTATGACTCCACTTAATTTGGGAGCAATTTCGGAAACATCTTAAAGACTCATCCCAAGAGCCATCCCAATAGCCTTCCTAAGAATAATAATAAAGTCAGCTAATATTTACTAGGAGATAAATTCCCACAAATAGAGACCAAAAAATTTTCTGGGCAGTAAATGTATATTCATCTTTAACTCACATTTTCATGTATTTTATGTTTGATCTTCACAGCAAACCTGAGAGACAGGCACTATCATCTATACTTTACTGAGAATCAAAAATTGAGTGATTCAGATTTTAAAAATCACTAGCCCTTCCCACTAAAACAGTCCAAGGAGGAATCAATGACTTCACTAACCCAGAAATTATAACCCTGTACAGACCCAAGACTCACTAAATGTTGCAGTGAGCATTTTCATGACTAAGTTCAATGTGTCTTGAAATCAGGCTGGTGCCTTTTTGCCCAAACTTTCATTCCTCCCACCCTCCTATCTCCTCCTCACAAAAAAAGGGGGTGAGTTTAATCATTTTGGTTTAAGAACTACGCAGCTTATTCTAAATTTTTATTTGATACATAGGAAAGTGACAAATCTGTCATACCCTTAAGTGAAATAACTGTTCTCTTTCAAGTCAGATTTTTGGGTTCACACCCTGGCTGGGTGGTTAATAAGATAATATTTAAATGATGCCAATCTATTAAGTCTAAATACTCTCCTGGTGGCACAGAGTTACTACTGATATGTGGTTCAGAAAAAGTAGTTTCTGTCTAGCTCAAAATGTTAAGGGCAAAACATAACTTTACCAAAAAGAATTAAGTTTACCAGGCACTTCTGGTTGTCTCGAAGCCATTGAAAGACTGGGATCCAGGTGCTTTTTCTATACAGAATTCAGAGCTGAGTCCCTGCCACCTAATAAAAACAACAAAGGGCATTTTCTTACAGTGAACACCAAAGAATAGCTCCAATGCTGTTCTTCTGACAAGCACACAGAGTTTTATGGCTTGGTTACAAGGTTGAAACACACACAAAAGAGGGACAAACATGCGAGGGAGAAAAAAAAGGAAAAAATCAAAGGTCTCACTGTACCTGTCACACAGACACCATACACAGTGAAAAGGTCACCTTACCAGAGCGAAATGATGTGACGATTATGCTGACAGATATTAATGAGGAACACTGCTCAGCTGCTGCAAGCTGCTCGGGAAGAGTCCATCCATTCCAGAGGTTCTGAGAACAACAAACAACCACCATTGGCACAGCCCTTCAGAGTCTGCCAAACACCTTCCTGTACTTTCATGTATCTCCTGTAACAACCTTGCGAGAGATACTATACTCATTTCGTTTTTAAATAAGTTAGGGCTCAGGGTCCAAATAACCTGACCCACAGCAAGGGACGAGGGAACCACAGTGGGTAAATTCATTCCTTGCTGCTAGTACTGACTGATATTCATAAGGGTTTTATACAACACTTATCTTGTGTTTTAACCCTTGCAGCAACCCTTGCAAAGCAGGCATTGTTTACCCCCAATTTAAAGAAAAGGAAACTAAAAAGCAGAAGTGATTTGTCCAAGGTTACAGACAAGTGGCCCATCTGTAAGGCAGGTAGTTTCATCTCCATTTTACAGGGGAGTTCAAACAAAGCTCCGAGAAAGCCAAGTTACTTGCTTTTCAGCTTGCTGCACTCCCCCCTCTATCCTGATGAAGCTCAGAAGGCAAAATTGTTAATTCCTCATTAAAGAATATCGCTGAAACCAAAGTCGGCCATCCTCGGGGTCCAGGCAGCATTCCGACCCGACACCTCCCCTTCCACTTCCCAGTGCCCATCCCCTCCCCCTCCCCGCAGAGCTCTGACTTCTCCTTCATAAGATACAGGACAATGCCACCAGGATGTGAAACGCCTGGGCTGACTGAACCGCCTCTTCCACCCGGCGAGGATAAGAAAGATTAAGGCGATTAGGGCCAGGGCCTGGCACAAGCTGAAAGTTCCCCGGGGCAAGGCAAGTAGGAGGCTTGGGAGGTAAGGGCGAGAAATGGGGGGTCCAGGACAAGGCCGGCCTGGTAAAGTAGAGGCGAAGCCCGGTGCCGGGGCTGCGGGGGCATGATCACAGAGATACCCCACGGGGGGACCCCAGAAGGCGGGGCGAGAGATGCACGGAGCGGTCCGGCAAAGGTCTGAGCCTGAGTAAGGGGAGAGGAGAGAAGCACCACGAGGGCCCGGGCCAGGGCCTCGGTGGAGGGGACGGGGGCACGCCCCTCCTTACCGGTGGAGGACCGAGCCCCAAGGAGGGTCCGGTCCGGCTCATCTGGTTACCTGTTTTTCCGCCGCCGCGGAGCCGCCTGCGGCCCGAGCTCCGGCACTAAAGAGGCTCCGAGGACCCACGTCTCTCGAGAGGCTGTGGCGCATTCGGGACCCAAGCCATGGTGTGAGCGGCGCTGTGCCCGTGGCGACACAGAAGGCCCCAGACACCAAACAGGGAGGGACCACAGGCTGCCGGCCCACAGCCTTCCCGATAAAGTCTCCAGAGGCCAAGTCATTTCACGCGAGATTTGGCGGGGGGGGGGGGGGCTCGATGCATGCTGGGAGTTGTAGTCCACGGTCGGGAAAGCCCCAGGATCTTAGCTGCACTGCAGGTTGGTAGGGCCAGAGCTCCGTGTGTGGAAACTGCCAGCTCCCATACGAAAAGCTACCCTTGACTAGCATTTTATGCCTGGGTCTGTGACAGGCTGAGGGCAGATGGAGGTGGCATAGTAAAGTGACACCCTCAAACCCGTTTCACGGAGGGGAAGTTGAAGAGATGCGAAGGCACTTTGACTAAGAAGAGGTGAAGTGAGCAGGGACCCTCTTCCAGGAACAGCTGGGTTAGGCAGGGTTCATACTAGTAGCAGAACCAAAAGGGGAAGCAAATAGCACCAGCCTCTGCTAGGTAAGGTGGTCGTAACATTATTTCCCTTTTACACTAAGGAAAGTGACACTTGGAGAGGTGCCAGCTCAACTGTCATACCCTGAAGACTTCTTTTTTCCTTAAAGGGTTTACAAATATGACAAAGCAATAAAGTTGAGGAAGTAAACGAAGTTGAAAAACAATCTATCCACATGTCCAAAGTTTGCCATCAAGGCTCATTTCAAGAGGGCTATAGGGGCTTGGGGCTAGGACTTTTAGATTTCAGCATTTGACCATTGGCCAGGCCTACTGGCGGGACTGAGAGGCTTTCTTCATGCACCTTTAAACTTGAATATGCCAGTAATTAGAGTCTTTTCTAAATTCTGTGATTAGCTTATAAATAGCACAATTACATTGCAGTGTGATTTTTTTCTCGTGTTAAAAGTGTTCTTTCATGGGCTTCCCTGGTGGTGCAGTGGTTGAGAGTCCGCCTGCCGATGCAGGGGACACGGGTTCGTGCCCTGTTCCAGGAAGATCCCGCATGCCGCGGAGCGGCTGGGCCCGTGAGCCATGGCCGCTGAGCCTGCGCGTCCGGAGCCTGTGCTCCGCAACAGGAGAGGCCAAGACAGTGAGAGGCCCGCGTACCGCAAAAAAAAAAATTGTTACTTCAGGGCTTCCCTGGTGGCACAGTGGTTAAGAATCCGCCTGCCAATGCAGGGGACACGGGTTCAAGCCCTGGTCCGGGAAGATCCCACATTCTGCAGAGCAAATAAGTCCGTGTGCCACAACTACTGAGCCTGCTCTCTAGAGCCCGTGAGCCACAACTACTGAAGCCCGCGCACCTAGAGCCCGTGCTCCACAACAAGAGAAGCCGGCACACCACAACAAAGAGTAGCCCCTGCTTGCCGTAACTAGAGAAAGCCCGCACGCAGCAACGAAGACCCAATGCAGCCCAAAATTAATTAATTAAAATAGATTCTCAAAAAAAAAAAGTGTTACTTTGTAAATTTGCAACTTTTAAAATATGCCATAATTTTTGCCCTCTGTGGGGACAAAGCTGACACCTTGCCCTCCTCCATCACAAGGAAGGCATACACATCACATCTTAGTCAGAAGGGGAGGAAAGAGCACTTTGCACCTTTATATAAATTGCAGGACAGGATCACCTTGTTTCAGTCTTATTCCCAAATTAATGAAAGCTGAAGGCTTTCCTGGAAGTTACTGACTCTAACTAAGACAACTTTATCCCTGACTCTTGTGATACTGATGTCTGAAGCTGTGACATGATGTTGGCAGACAGTAGCCGTTTGAGAAAATTGCTGTTTTCCCCAAAGAGCAGACTAGCTATAAACTTTTAGCCTTTGCAAGCTTACAGGGTTTTCCCCTTTAAATGGGTGTTGTATTTTTTATTTAGGGAGCTTATTCTTCTAAAGCCTGGACTTCCTTCGAACCCTTCTTTGTAAGTAAACTACTTTTCTAAATGGTCTGGTTGCATAGCTAAAGAGGATTCAGTCGCAGCTGAATCCATGAGGCCCAAGAAGGGCACCTTCAGAGCTGTTTGATCTCAGGCGGTTTTTCTCAGTGCCGGGGGTGGATCTCTTGTGGCAATAGAGATTCCCCTCCACTGCCTTTTCTGTGCTTTTTTTCTCACTCTGGTTTTGGTTCTTTTTTTCTTTCTTTCTTTCTTTGTTTTAAAGTCTTTATTGCATTTGTTACAATATTGCTTCTGTTTTATGTTTTGGTTTTTTGGCCACGAGGCATGTGGGATCTTAGCTCCCCGACCAGGGATCGAACCCACACCCCCTGCATTGGAAGGTGAAGTCTTAAGCACTGGACCGCCAGGGAAGTCCCTCTGGTTTTGGTTCTTAGCCAAGCCTACTTTTAATTGTCACAGCCACTTTATTTCCCCAAGAGTGGCAGCATCTTTGGGAGGTTGGTCTTTGAGGTCTGATTGTTGGTTCTTATCTGGGGACAGACAACAGTCAAGGGTCCCTGTGTGTGGTTGACCAGGGAATCTGGTTGCCTTTTTATGTATGTTTACAACATACACTTACCACGAAACTAATTTTCTTTTTTTAAAAAAATATATTTTTTAATTAATTTATTTATTTATTTTATTATTTTTGGGGGGGCTGCGTTGGGTCTTCATTGCTGTGCATGGGCTCTCTCTAGTTGCTGCGAGTGGGGGTTACTCTTCTTTGCGGTGTGCAGGCTTCTCATTGGGGTGGCTTCTCTTATTGTGGAGCACGGGCTCTAGGCGTGTGGGCTCAGTAGTTGTGGCGCACGGGCTTAGTTGCTCCGCGGCATGTGGGATCTTCCCGGACCAAGGCTCGAACCCGTGTCCCCTGCATGGGCAGGAATATTCTTAACCACTGTGTCATCAGGGAAGTCCCGAAACTAATTTTCTAAATACTTTTGACTCGGAATTTTCTTTTTGCACCTCCTTGGGCACTTCATACTTTAATAAACTTGGAGCCTCTGAAATTGACCAGAATCTCTCTTACATCCACCCAGGATGCCCCAAATCATCCTGCATTTCTACTTCATGGGGGACGGGCAGAGAGTGGAACCAGACTCTGCCCACCTGCCTTCCTCTAGACATCTGCGCTCTCTGGTCAGTAACAAGCCCTCAGAAAGGTCCACTCCCTAGATAGACCTGCCAACATTCTCACGACCCATCAGCGGACTGAAACTTGGTCACTGGGATAGTAGCAGGTGGGGCATTTGCATTTTTGGGATCTCTAGACTTGGAACTCTGGAAATCTGCCCCCTATAATATCACAGATAAGGCATTCCACCTAGTAGTGCTTAGGCATTGTCCATTTCCATTGCCCATTTCGCAGCAGAGGAAACTAACACTCTCAAGGGAACTTTGGATAAGATACCTCAGCCAGGAAGCGGCAGAGTTGAAATTCAAGACGGGCTGAGTGCCCAGCTGATAGTTTCGCTGCTGGCTATCCTTGGCCTCAGCTCCTCCACTTTAACGTCCCTGGGGCTAGAGGGTTGAAGGCGCATTCCCAAGGAAGAAACAAAGATCAGTAACACCGCCCTCTAGTGGTGAGGGGTAAAGATTTCACTGAAAAAAATAAGGATGCTTGGTCAGCTGTCAGACTGTCCTTAGAGACAAACTTCTCCCGCCTAATATCACAGATGAAGCAACTAAGGTGCAGAGAACAGAAGGAACCCGGCCACTGTCACAAAGTTAGTCCGGGGCAGTTGGTTAGCTAGAAAATGTGTTTTTGTTTCTTACTTTGTGTCAGGTACTATGCGTGGTACTCAGGATACACTGGGAAGGGTCCCTGGATGTTATAGGCTGACTTGTGTCTTCCCAAAATTCATGTGATGAAATCCCAAACCCCAGTGCGTCAGAACTTAACAGTTATTTATAGATAAGGGCTGTAAAGGGGTGATTAGGTTAAAATAAGGCTGGTGTCCTTATAAGAAGAGGAAGAGGCCCCAGAGTTACACAAGCACAGGGAAAAGGCCATGTGAGGATACAGTGAGAGGTGGCAATTTGCAAGCCAAGAAGAGAGGCTGCAAAAGAAACCAAACCTGCCGGTACCTTGATCTTGGACTTCTAGCCTCCAGAACTGTGAGAAAATTAATTTCTGTTGTTTAAGCCACCCACTCTGTGATACTTTGTTATGGCAGCCCTACCAAACTAATACGAGGAGACAGACAACGAATGAGAGATTATGAATAATTAAAAGCCAGATATCAGGAGGCAAGAGCACCAAGTGCTATGTAATAGGGGGACTGACTCTGGAACATCAGGGGAGGGTGCCCAGAGAAATACGAGTTACAGAGGCAAGGAAGTAGGTGGAAGAGGGTGCTCCACGTGGGGCACCAAAGCAAGGGCAAAGGCCCAGAGGCAGGAGAAAGCTTGTGTCTGAGGAGAATTGGAGGGTGGGGAGCAATTAGCAGAGTCCTTGAGGTGGCAGAGCCCCCACCAGCTCAAGGTTTATAGGCCAAGGTATGGATTTTGGTCTTTCCCCTGAGAGCCATGAGGGTGAGGGGCCACCTGGAAGTGGACATAGTGTAAACAAGTCCATAGTTGGCCTTGGGTGGGGAGGGGAAGAGAGGGGAGAGTTAGAAAGGTTAGTGCAATGGGCCCTGGGGTGATTTTGTTAAGCTAGGTTTTATTAGGGTTGGGGTTTATCTGGACAGCAGTTGGAGCACATTTAAATGCATTGGGAAGAATCAGCAGAGAGGGAAGTGTGCAAGATGCAGGTGAGTAAGGGGTTAAGAGCCCTGAGATGCAGGAAGGGGCACCTGGCATTTGATCAATTACCTAGGGCCTACAGGTCTTTCAGAGACCCACAAAAACATCTTTGAACGCTAAAAGTTAAATGATTGGCTCCAAGATTTTTTTAAAACTGCAGAATCAAAACTAATATGTTTAATTAAATGTCCGCACAACAGAGTATTACATCAACTTCCTTTATGATAATATTTAACTCTCATAAAGATGCCGTTGCATTTGAAAACAAATTGAGAGCTAGATTTTTCTCACCTTGAAAAATACTCCCAATGAGCAACTTAGTGCTCCCCCAAAAAAAACAAAAAGCAAAAAAACATAGCCAATCACAAATTAGACAAGTTGGGACTTCCCTGGTGGCACAGTGGTTAAGAATCTGCCTGCCCATGCAGGGGACACGGGATCAAGCCCTGGTCTGGGAAGATCTCACATGCCGCGGAGCAACTAAGCCCGTGCGCCACAAATACTGAGCCCACACAACACAACTACTGAAGCCCGCGCACCGCAACAAGGAGTAGCCCCCGCTCGCCACAACTAGAGAAAGCCCGCGCACAGCAACAAAGACCCAACTCAGTCAAAAATAAATAAATAAAATAAATAAATTTATTAAAAAAAATTAGACAAGTTATCTGTAGCTAAGTAATTTTTAAAGAAAAACTTTTTAATTATTTAAATATTTTACAGCAATATGTTTAACATGGGACGTGAGTACATTTGAATATGTTTGTTTGGTACAGTATGTGGTGGAATGTTCTAAGGAAGGACAGACTAGGGCAGAGAAGACCTAAAAACCACCCCGGGGTGGGTCCAAAGCATGTGACATGTGAGGGGCTGGCCTCGGAAAGAAGGAAGTTTTCCGTGTGTTTGGTGGAGAAGATTGGCAAGGCCCCCTCTACTGGCTTTTTTGTTGTCGGTGAGGTAGGAGGTGAGCTGTCTCTTCTGTCTGTGAGCAGAGAGGGGGAGGTGAGGTGAGGGGCAAAGAGAGAAGAACGTAAAGATTTGAAATTGCCATTTCAGAGAGTGGAGGAGGAGAAACTGACTGGAAAGTGTGGATGACCCAGTTGAGGCTGGTCACCATGAGTAACTGATAGTGCCAATGTGTCTAGTTGTGTGTATTAAGGAGCATAGTTTAACGGTCTGGAAGCAGGAACACCCTGGATTCACCCAGGGCTGGGGTCCAATAGGGTGAGCAGGATGAAGGGTCAAAGGAGGTGAGGAAGTTAACATCACTTGAGTGCCTACATCGTGTGCACAAGAATAGACACTCTTACATACACTGCCTCATCCATAAGGATCATTATATTGGTTACAATGCGTTTGGCTGCAGTCAAGAGAAAAACTCAACTAACAATGGCCTAAAGGTATTTGTTGTTTATTTAGGAGTCTGTAGGAAATTAGACCTCGGATTGGTTTGGAAGCTCCATAATATCCTCAGAGACCTGGGTTTTCCCTTCCCTTTTGTGCCTTCCCTCAGCAAGTTGGGTTTCATTTTCAGGCTTGGACCTCACGTTTGAACTGTGGTCGCTCCAGCTCACAAAGCGGAGCTTCCTCACATGACAGCACTCTCTGTGGGAAGGGAGAAAATTACTTCCTAGAAGGCTAGCAGTCTTCTACCTACAACCCCTGGGCCAGAACTGAGCCAGATGCTCACCCCTACACTAAAACTGATCAACAGGAACTGGAAGGCTCCAATCATCTTAGTTTTAAGTCATGACTCCTCCCAAGGCTGAGCACATACCAAATAAATAAAGTTGGGATTCTGTTAGCAAGAAAAACAGAGGGATGGCTCTGTTGGATAGGCCACCAACAGTGTCTGCACAATCATTATCCTCATTTTACAGTTGAAGAAACAGGTTCAAAGAGGTTATGTGGCATGATGAAGGTCAGAGTGGGTCCGGAAATTGAGCCCAGATCCTTCTGATACCACTATGCTGTGCCCTGTTCAGGTCTTGCTGACTCTAAGACCAGTTTTCTTTGCATGTAACAATGGTTGCCAACTAGGGGTCCCTATAGCCCCTACAGAGAGTTGGGGAGAGGAGGGAACTTCCTGGGTATTTATTTCCAGTGTAAAAAAATTAATAAAGAGAAACCTTAATTAAATAGTCAAGAGACCAGAAGCAGGGGGCTCTCACACTCTGTGATGATGATAACAGAGCCCAAAAGGAATAAGAAAGATTCCTCTTGGGCTTCCCTGGTGGCGCAGTGGTTGAGAGTCCGCCTGCCGATGCAGGGGACACGGGTTCGTGCCCTGTTCCGGGAAGATCCCACATGCCGCGGAGCGGCTGGGCCCGTGAGCCATGGCCGCTGAGCCTGCGCGTCCAGAGGCTGTGCTCCACAACGGGAAAGGCCACAACAGTGAGAGGCCCGCATACTGCAAAAAAAAAGAAAGATTCCTCTTCCTTCCTGACAAGGACTCATCCAGTGAAAAGCCATGGACTCTTTGTTTACTGTAGCCCTCCCAGCTTCCTTTTCCCCTTTATAAAAGAGTTCTCCTTCCCTTGCCATGCAAGGACTTGCACATGGCTTCCCACAATTGCAGGCCCCAAATTGCAATTCTCTGCTCATCTTGAATAAACCCACCTTGGCTGGAGAAATATCTGGCAGTCTTTTTATTTTAGGTCAACATTTTGGTGGCCCATATGGGGGCCAGAGATGATCCCTGCTGGTTCGAGGACTGGTGAGCAAACAGATGCAGCACCACAATTGAGCCCACTGTCACTCACTGCTTTTCTCACCAGCCCTGGTCTTTCTCCTGGATCAAGCTCACACTCTCTTTGCCTTTGAAGCTCTCCAGGCTTTTGGGGGGATCTACTTAAAGCTTTCGTCTTTCTGGTTAAGGTCTTGTGCTGTATGCGAGTACTTTTTTCACACCTTGGTCTGATTTTTGAGATCAGAACGTTTCAATTGAAGCTGGCTGAGAAGCTGTGGGCCCATTCCTATGGGAACAAGAGCTGCTTCACTGAAACTGTGCCAGTTCAGCTGTCAGCCCATTCCTTAGGAATAGGGGCTATTCTCTAGAAACTGACTGAGAAAGTCTTTGGCCTGGCTTCTCTGGGACCAACCTGTTTCCTTAGAATTGGATGGTATCAGCTTTCAAGTTGTTTGAGCTGTTTGAAAATTGTTTTTACTCTAGAGAAAAACCTGTAAGAAATAGGATATCAGTTACCTAAATAGTTTGAGGGTGTCCTCCCTATAGTGACTCTGAATGATTTTATGTTTAAAAACTGCATCATTCTTCATGCACATTTCAACAAATGGACCAACCCAACCAAAGGCAATTTAGAATATCAAAGGCCATTTGGAGGAACTTTCGAAATCCACAAACTTAATTTCATTAAAACCAAATTGGACTAAAATGGCTCAAAAATTTTCCAGAACTGAGTTGTATGCCTATTTCAATTGGTACTTTGAGGATTCCCAATGTTATCAGGAGTCTAAAATTGCCTCTCTGAAAAATAAGATTTTAAGATTAAGTACGGCAAATGAAGAAAAACAAAATGGCTCCCAAAGCCTTGGACTCTTCTTCCTTGGCTTCTTTGTCTCCCATTCTGCCTCTGACACCATCTTATCTCTCTCTCCCTTGGTTCTTCATGTTCAGGCCCTGTTCCCAGCGCCATCTTCCTCCTTCCCTTCTATACCACCTACACCTCCTCTATACTCTCGAGTCCCCCATGCTAAATCTCTCACCAAACTTGTCCTTTTTTCTGAAACTCTCCCTACCCCCTTTTCCTCTGAACCTTTAAAATTAAAGGTTCAGAGGAAAATCTGTCCCTTTAAAATTAAGCCTCCTGAGGACCCAGAGAAAAACCCTTAATTTCTTATATTCCCTGGATTAAAATTAAACTGCAAGCCATAGTTAAAAGATTTTCCCAAAGTAACTGAAGGTCCTCCCGGATTTGCTGAGGAATTTAAAAGTATAGTCATTCAAACTTATGAACCTGGTTTCTCCAACTTATATCAGCTAGTTAATATGCTTGTCAGTGGCCCAGCCTTAGATAAAAACCCCTAATTGGGAAAATCATGAAAGGGCTCTAGAATTACAACTGGGAGAGCAGCCCACTAATTGATTATATGATCAGGCTTGTTCAATTGCTAGGTGACTTCACTGAGCAATTTCTAGGGCTTTTCCAAAGCCTATTGATTGAGACAAAATTCAAGCTTGCCCACAAAAATCTGATGAACCTGTTCATGACTATTACAGTCAACTTCAGATTATTTTTTAAGAAAATTCTCATCTTCCTTCAGATATTGATTCCCCATGGGTAACTTTTAACTCTGTTTATTAGTGGGCTGAACCAGGACCTTTCCCTTCTAATATAAAGGACCAGGATGAACTGGGAAATTATGTCCACTCTAGATTTAGGTAGTCTGGCAAACCAGCTCTCACGCTGTAGGTGAGTCACCACCAAAATTCTTAATCTTCAACTCCAAAAATGAAGTCCCCTAAATAAAATCAACACCCTCCCAGTTTCTGCTATTACTGCAAAGAGCCAGGACATGGAAAAGAGATTGTTACAGACTCAAGCACTTCAGGCACCATTATCCCTCTAACCAGCTTTTCCAACTTCTTCCCAATTCTCACTGACAGGGCTCCAAGGAACTACGGGGCCGCTTCCCAATCCTCCCTCTTAATCAGCTTGGAGAAACACTCCTCCAGATTTGGGATGGGTCTCTTCTCATCCTAACTGACACTGCAGCCACAGTCTCGGTGCTCAACCCCACTACTATAAAGCAGCCCCTGCCTCGGAGTACTAATACAGTTCCAACAGTGGGATCTCTAATGAACCTCAAGCGCTTCCTGTCCCTGAACCTATTCTTTTTTGTCTAGACCCTTTGAAAGATATACATGCCTTTCTCCTCAGTCCCTCCACCTCATCCATTTATTAGGCCAAGACTTCTTATAGAAGTATCACACCAGGGACTTCCCTGGCGGTCCAGTGGTTAGGACTCCATGCTTCCACTGCAGGGGGAATGGGTTCTATCCCTGGTCTGGGTCCTGAATGCTGTGTGGTGTGGCCAAGAAATAAAAAAAGTATCATGCCAGAATTTCTTTCTCCCCAAAAAAGGAAATAATTCTAGAATTTGACAGTAGTCATCAAAGTCACCCACCAGGTGAATTAAATGATCCTTTGACATCTTTTATTTGTTCCATCTCTGACAGTATTAGAGCTTATTCTAGAAACACAGATCATTTGTGCCTATTGAATCAGCTACCATCCCCCTTCTGGGCAAAATCTCCAACTGATGTTGGCAAAATTCATAGCGTACCTCCCATCAAGATTCATATAGACCCCTCAAAACTTCTCCCCAGAATTAGTTAACACCCTATAAGAAGTTCTTCAGGGCATAAGACCCATAACAGTTACAAGGCTCAAGGCCTCATTATCCCTTGTAGTAGCCCTGTAACACTCCCATTTTACCAGTGAGAAAACCTAAGGGTCAAGGGTGGAGGTTTGTGCTGCACCTCAGAGCAACAAACAACACTGTTATCTCTCCACACCCTGTTGTTCCTAATCCATGTATGTTGCTAACATCCATTCCCACCAGATGTAAATTTTTTACTGTAATTGATTTATGCAGTGCATTCTTTAGTATTCTTGTTGATGAAGCTACCTACCTACCTTTTTGCCTTCACTTGGGAAGAAAAACAATTCACCTGGACAGTGATGTCTCAAGGTTCTACTTGAGACATTACTTCTTATTTCTTGCAAATCCCAGAAGCTGATCTGGATGATATAAAGTCCCCTAGAGGTTCTACTTTGTTGCAATATGTAGATGATTTATTTCTTTTCTCTCTTTCTCAAGGTTTCTCACAGAAAGACAGCATCGACTTGCTAAAGCTTTTAGCCTCAAAGGGACCGAAGTTCACCAAAGAAAAATTGCAGTTTGCCCGAACCCAGGTTTGATATTTAGGATATCTGATATCAGAACAAGGGCTACACTCAGATTCAGATAGACTTCATGGTGTCCTAAGTTTCCTAAAACCCAAAACTAAGTGCCCACTGGGAGGTTTTCTTGGGCTAGTTGGCTATTGCCAAAACTGGATTTCAAATTTCTTATGGCCAAACCTCTGTAATATTTTACTAAACAATAACAACCTGGACCCAATTTTATGAGAACCAGACAACATAGTTTCCAAGGCCTTAAAGGAGAGTTTGATGAACCCACTTGCTCTTGGACATTGCAATTATCAGTATGATAAAAGTATGATAAAATTATCAGTATGATAAAAGTATGATAAAATGAGTGGACCTAGGTTCCAACAACTGTAAAGGGGGATCTAGGATATTTAAAGCATGGTTTTGCAATCCTTTTTGTTTATGAAAAGGAAAAGAATGCCCTGGGGATATTCACCCAAAAACATGGGACCACCATTGATGCTTAGGGTATTATAGCCAGCAACTGGACCCTGTGGCATGGGGACACCCTCCTTGCCTTAGAGCCATTATGGCCACTGCCCTTTTGGTTAAGAGCACCAAGAAAATTATTGTGGGATCCCCTTTAACCATCTTTGTACCTCATGCAGTAGAAGCCTTCCTGAGTTCTCATCACACTCAACATTTCTCAGTCAGCTGCCTCACCTCCTATGAAGGCCTTTTGTTAACTGCTCCTCACATAACTCTATTATGCTCTAATAACTTTTAACCCTGCTACTCTTCTCTCCTCCAATACATATGAGAGGCTTCAGAGCCAAACTCTTGAGTTTTGCTTCTTTTTCAGATGAAAAGTATGATAAAATGAGTGGACCTAGGTTCCAGCAACTGTAAAGGGGGATCTAGGATATTTAAAGAAGCATGGTTTTGCAATCACACAGACCTGATACAAACCCCAGTTGCATCATTTATTGACTCTGTGGTCTTGGGGAAGTCACTTCCTCTCTCCAGGCTTCAGTTTTCTCTTTTAGGAGATGGAGATAAGCTGACAAGTTGGCAGATAGCACAAGCCAGCCCCAGGTCAGGGGGATACCCAGGAGTCACAGGGAAGTTGGCAGATCAGAGAAACTAGCCCTGTGGCTACCAGAAGAGGGCCGGGCTGGGGTGTGGACAATGGCAGCCCAGAGCAGAATAGGACACAGCCCCATCAGAGTTTTCTGATAGACACACACTTTCTTCTTCCCCACCTTGTCCGGGGCAGACCTTGGCCAGCCCTATAGCTGTCACCATACTATTACTGCAGGCTGAGAAGGCACTGGCTGGGTGGGGTGGCTTACAGCCTCTGGGTGAGGAGGGAAGTCAAAAACAAGTACAAGGCAGTGAACTGGCCTGTACCTTAGCTTCTCTTCCACCACTCCTCTCCGCCCTCCTGATACCTTAGGCACTAGGTTATGGCAACCATGGGTGGCAGCTTCTAGTAAGAGTCCTACCTGGATAGAGAGAGGTACAGGGAGGTACTTCAGGGATGCAGATGTCTGCTCAGGACAGTATAAACCAGGAGGTATAGACTGTACACGAGTCTCCTTCTCAACTCACCAGGAAAAGTTCAAGCTATACTTGGGCTTTGCCCCCTCCCCCAGGCACTCAGTCCTGGCCCCAAAGAAATAGGAGCTCACAGGGGCAGAAAAGAGACAGCTGAGGGACACACACCCATCAAGAGAAAGACAACATACAGGGCAACCATAACCAGACACAGCAGAGTTCATGGACTAGGCAGGACAGGAAATGAAATACCCATTTTAAGTATTATTCTAAAAAGGAAAAGAGAGGATTGGGGAAATATGAAGGAGGAACAAGAAGTCATACAGAAGAACCAACTATAGAGTCAGACATGAAAAATGTCATAGATGAAATAAAGACCTCAAAGTCTGGGGTGAATAGCAGAGTGGATATAGCCAAAGAAAGACCAAATAAGCAAGTATTGATATTAAGATCAGGTTGAGAAAATCTCCTAAAAAGCATGAAGAAGGTATAGATATTTTACATGGTACCTCAGTACACACACACACACACACACACACACACCCTTAAAACAAAAGTTTCATGAGAGGGTGTTATTGTCCACTGTATTCCATATATATATATATATATGTATAAAACATATATATGATATAAATTGATTTCACAATTCACTAATGGTCTTAAACTACAGTTTGAAACACAGGACTGGAGTCATACTCTTAGGCTCTCTTGCTAAGCATTACTTCTCTCCAGAGGAATGACTTCTTTGAATGGGGAGTTTGGGAGAAGACAGTAGGTATGCTCAACCCAGCTGCTTCTGGGCTCTTCTGCCCTGCCCATCTGTAGAGATGGTGGATCAGGATGCTCTCTGACTGCTCGGGAGGGGCCTGGCCCTGTAAGGTTTCTAGACAGTTTCTGTTCTCACTTCAGTGCCTACCCCTTTCTGATTATTTGGTGCCTCTGCCATACTGGCTGTTAATATTCTTAGTACAAAACTCCTGCCCTTGCATGATGAGTTGAGTCACTGATCTGGTGGATAGTCCATCTGTTTCAGGAGAAAGTATCAGCAAGACTATTTCGGCCCCATGTCTAAGCCACTTTCTCCAATTCAGCATTTATTGACAACAAAGATGACATTTTTCTCTCCATTTGAACATCTTCTTTGTCTTCTCCATTAGTTCTAAACTTGCGGAGCTGAAGCATTCTTTATAAACCTGCTGTTATGGACCAAATGGTGGTATCCCCCCAAAATACATTATGTTGATGCCCTAGTCCCCAGTGTAATAGCAATGATAGTATTTGGAGGTGGTGCTCTTGGGAGGTAATTAAATTTAAATGAGGTCAAGAGGGTGGGGCCCCACTATGGGATTAGCGTCCACATAAGAGGAAGAGAGAGCAGAGCTCACTCTCTCTGCCATGTGAGTACACAGTGAGAAGGTGGCTGCCTGCAAGTCAAGAGGGCACTAGCTGGGAACTGAATCTGCTGATACCTTGATCTTGGACTTCCTAGCCTCCAGAACTGTGAGAACTAAATTCTTATTGTTTTTCACCCAGTCTGTGGTATTTTGTTATGACAGCCCAAGAAGATTAAAACATCTGCTAAGATTTAACAGTGTTGGGGCTTCCCTGGTGGTGCAGTGGTTAAGAATCCGCCTGCCAATGCAGGGGATATGGGTTCGAGCCCTGGTCCGAGAAGATCCCACATGCCGCGGAGCAACTAAGCTCGTGCACCACAACTACTGAGCCTGCGTGCCTAGAGCCTGTGCTCTGCAACAAGAGAAGCCACTGTAATGAGAAGCCCGCGCACTGCAAAGAAGAGTAGCCGCTACTCGCCACAACTAGAGAAAGCCCGTGTGCAGCAACAAAGACCCAATGCAGCCAAAAATAAAATTAAAAAAAAAAAAAAAAAAGGGCTTCTCTGGTGGTGCAGTGGATGAGAGTCCGCCTGGCGATGCAGGGGACATGGGTTCACGCCCCGATCCGGGAAGGTCCCACATGCCGCGGAGCGGCTGGGCCCGTGAGCCATGGCCGCTGAGCCTGCGCGTCCGGAGGCTGTGCCCCGCAACGGGAGAGGCCACAACAGTGAGAGGTCTGCGTACTGAAAGAAAAAAAAAAAGATTTAACGGTGTTAAATGGTGCCAGGAGGTCAAGCAAGATAAGAACTAAGATGCCACTAAGGGATTTACCAACAAGGGGTTTGTTAGAGACCCTGGTGAGAACAGCTTCTCTGGGTGGGTGGGTCAAAGAATAGGAAATGCAGGGCTAAAATGGAAAGGAGAGGTAGCAACCAGAGTCAGAGGAAACAGGAGAGATCTGAGCATACCGGGGGATGACTAGAAAAAAGCCCAGAGTCCTCCCTGTTGTATAAGATGGCTTGAGGTGGTTTACAGTAAAAATATACCCATTCTCCTCACAGGGTCCTCCTCTTAAGTACCCAGGCCCGTTTCTCCTGCTTTTCCTCCTTGTGTTACATCTGGAAACTTTGGCAGTCACTGGGGGTCACGGAGGACAAAGTGGTCAGGTCTAAACAGACTCCTGGACCTGCCTCCTTCATCAGGATGCCAAGAGACCACAAGAGAGCAGAACCCCTGGGAACCAGGCAGCAGCCAAGGCAGGGAAGGGCGTACTAACAGTCGTGGACCTGGGTTCCAGTCCTGTTTCTGCACTCCATAACCTGCCATCCCATAGAATTCCTTTCCGAGATCTTGAGGGATGCAGGAAACAGATCGCCAGGGTTTGACCGCAGGCTTCACCAAAGCACTACGGTGTGGCCTGGGCCTCGGTTTTCCCTTCTAAGAGGCACTGTTTTAAGGGGAAACCTAGAACAGCTGTGAGCTAACCCCTTGGCACACAGCAAGTGCTCGGTAGATGCCAGTATCACCGCCTCTTGTTCTGCCCAGGCACAGCCTCTCGCTCCACATCGCACCTTGCAGAGTGGGCAGGAGGTCCCCGCGCTCCGGCCAGCGACCCCACTCCAGCCGCCAGGGCGCGGGCGGCCTGTCGCGACAGCGGCGGTGCATTGTGGGGCTTGTAGTGCGGGTCTCTGTTGGGTGGGTGGGTGGGCGCGGCCGAGGCAGTTCGCAGCGGGGCCATCTTCGGCAGGCCGGCTGGCTCGGCCTGTGCAGCCGGTACCCGCGCCCCTCGCCCGGCCCGATGGCGCCGCGGCCGCTAAGCCCGTTGGTGCTGGCGCTGGGTGGCGCGGCGGCCGTGCTCGGTTCGGTGATCTTCATCCTCTGGAAGACCTACTTCGGCCGCGGACGGGAGCGGCGCTGGGACGGAGGCGAAGCCTGGTGGGGCACGGAGCCTGCCCGCCTTCCGGAGTGGGACGAATGGGATGTGAGTACCTGGAGGGGTTCTGCGCCTCCGCGCGCGCAGCCGAGGGGTGTGACCGCCGCGCTGCGGGGCGGGAGTTTGACGCCGCAGGCCTCGCGCGGGTGGACGCGCGTCGGGCGGCCGGGAGTCCCGGAACCGAGGAACGGGTGGGCGTTTGGGGGAGTGTGCTATGATGCGCCGCCGTAGGCCTAGGGCTTCCTCCGGGCAGCCGGAGCCTGGCGGGCCCGCGCCGGGCCCAGCCCGCGCCCGCCCGGCGCCTGCGCAGTGCGCGCGGGCCGGGGGATGCCGGGAGAGGCCCTCCGCCCCCTCACCCAGCCCGCGCGGTTCATTTGCGCGTTACCCCGACTCGGTTGTTCCTTTCGCTGTGGGGTGTTGGGGATTGTCAGTCTGAGGAGGCTGACGCTCCGCGAGGGGTAGGAATTTGCCCGAGGTCACTCAGGAAAAACCTGAAGAACGGGTCTTGAGACTCAGGACTCCATAGGCCCCGCTAGTCCCTTTGCAGCAGAGCGGGCCTGGCTGCCCCTTTAACGGCGGCAGGGCGGGGATGGGCGCTTTGGGCCTTCGGTCTTCTATGGGGAAGGGTCAGGCGGGAGGGTGCCAACCGCAGCCTGACCCGTACCCCACAGCCCGAGGACGAAGCGGACGAGGAGCCGGCGTTGGAGGAGTTGGAGCAGCGCGAGGTGCTGGTGCTGGGGCTGGATGGCTCTGGGAAGAGCACGTTCCTGCGCGTGCTGGCCGGGAAGCCACCGCTGGAAGGCCACATCCCCACCTGGGGCTTCAACTCCGTGCGGCTGCCCACCAAGAACTTCGAGGTGGACCTGCTGGAGAGTGAGCAGACCCTCCCTCCGTGTCTCCCGCTGTCTCCCCATCATTTCAGCTGGACCCAAGCTGTGGCTTTTTATCTAAGCAGGACACGCCCCTGTAGAAAGTCCTTCCCACGCTTCCCTGCGACACAGGATATAGTCCAAGCTCTGTACTCTGGCTTGGTCGACCCCTGTCCCTCACCCTTACTGCAGCCTACATGCCTAACACTGAGATACTAACATCTAAAGTTTCCAGTATGCCAAGCCCTTGACAGACATCACTTAAAAAACCCTCCCAACAACTCCATAAAACCGGCAACAGTTACCACCTTCATTATATGTGAGGAAAGGAGGCCCAGAAAAATAATTTTTTTTTAATTTATCGAGGCCCAGTAAAATAATTTATCCAAGCGCACGCAGCTTGCCGGTCAGCTAATGCAGACTATCTGGCTCTGGGCTCTCGATGTTAAGCACCATTTGCAGTGCTTGTTTCTGAAGGGTGCTTGCTGTTTTCTTTCTAATCTTCTGTGCTTTGCATGCACACTGTTCCCCCAGTCCGGAAAGCCCTTCTTCCCTTGTTAAACTGCTGTTCATCCTTCAAGATTTAAGTCAAACATGATATCCCTCTGAAGCCTTCTCTGACCCCTATAGGCTAGATTAAGAGCTCCTCCTGCTGCAGTGTTTGCCACATACCACCCTGTGTCCCTGACTAGGCATCTGGGGCACCGATAAATCCGATCCAGCTCTGGCCTCTAGGGCCCAGCCCTAATCAGGTACCTGGGAGAGCTTGTTGAGTGAGTGATCAGAGAGGGTCTGAGCATCCTCCTGCCCTCAGTGTTAGGCCTCTTGGGGATCCCAGGAGAGGATGGGAGAGAGGGTATTGAGAGCGCAGCAGTACTTAACCACCTGTGTCCAGCCACAGACTCAGTGGGGATGGACAGGTAGCCTTCCTGCCAGCCAAAGGACTCAGACCATAAAGACTAGGTGGGTTTAGTTAAGTCCTAAAGTGGTGGGATGGGACTCTGAGGACCTGGCTTTTGGCCTGAATGGGTCCAGTTCCTCTGGTCTCAGGGCCTTGCCTGCTAGCCTGCCCTGGCTACATCTTTTCTCCCTGACTGTAGCAAATGTTGACATTCACCTGAGATTTAGTCCTTTCAACAAGCTTTCCCTGTCTCCATCTCTTGTGCCAGGGACACAAAATTCAAGTGGGGGTTCTGCACTTAAGGCCCATTCTGTCTGGCAGAGACAGTATCCCCCTCCCTTCACCTTGGAAGAAGGGGTTTGGTGTTTTCATGTTACCCAGGGGTCTGCCCTGTTAACATCCCAGGCTCAGTAAGGTCACCCAACCTGGATTCAAACCCAGATCTCCCATTCAAGTCCTGGGGCTTTCCCCTCCCACAGCACACACTTCACTGTGGTCTCCTACAGTGCCTGGCCTGCAGCCCCAGCTGAGAGTGAGCACTTTGTGCATTTTTGACGACTTTTGCCTTCCCCACACCTCCTATATCCATTTTATTAGCTAGTTCTGTCAGCTTTATCCTCCAGTCGAGTCTGCGTCTGTTCACTTCTCCCCACCTCCATCTCTGCCTAATTGGTCCAAGCCATGGTCACCTGTCAGGACTACAACAGTCTCCTTGCTGGTCTTCCTGCTTCTACTTCTGTCCTCAATGTTGGCCATAGGTATCTTTAAGAAACCCGTATCAGATCATGTCATTCTTGCTTAAAATGCTTAAGGGGCTCCCCACAGACTCACTGTGGCTTTACAGGCCCTGTGTGGTCCAGCCCTGGGCAGCCTTGCTGGTCATGGCTTCCTCCTCTCCCCTTCTGGCGGCGCCTCAGCCTTCTGTTTCTCGAACACATGGATCTTGCTCTGCTTCTCTCTGCCTCATCTCATGACTAGCTCCTTCTCGTCATCCCAGACTCAGCTCACATGCTGCCTCCTTAGACCACCTTCCCAGACCAACCAGTCCAAAGCCACCAGCACATACAACCACCTCACCCCACCCCTTTCACTTTTTCTGTTTTACTTCCTTCCTTTGTGGAATGTGTTTATGTGTTACTGCTGTGTTGTTTCTGGTTACGGAGGGAGCTCCTTGAGAGCAGGGCCCCTGCCTGCCTTGCTCACCTCTGTATCTCCAGCACCCAGATCAGTGCTTGGCACCTAGTAAGCACTCAGTATATACTTGTTGAGTGCCTGCTATGTGCCAGGCATTGTGCTGAGGGCTTTGGGGGGATCCAGAGATAAATAGCTCTAACTCTCAAAGAGCTTAGAGCCCACAAGTGTCAGAAGTATAACCAGAAACACTAGGATGCAGGATGACCAGTGGGGACTTTGCAGAGGGACAGAGGGGAATAGGAATAACCCAGGTTGGGGGTGCTACTTGGGCAGCCACTTGGTGACACTATTGAGTATGGTGTTTCCAAGGAAAGAAAATGGGGCGACTAGACTGAACAAGAGAAGCCAAATGGAGAATGGATGTGCACAGGCAGGGCAGGGAGTCCTGGCTGCTGACCACAGCTGCCACTGACCCAGGAGGAAGCTAGGATTTGGGAGGAGGCAAGGCAGCCCAGGAGAA